CCCCATAGCCTATACTGCCTGTACTAATCCCCATACATACCCCTATAATGGTACTTAAATTCACTCTCCCACTCCCCCTTTAGCACCAGTAGGGTGTTGCGTTTCAAGGTTTGGGCCTGGTGATAGTGGTCTCTGCAGGTTGCTGGAAAAGATTTAGGGTGTGGGATTCGGAGCCCTAAACACGACACCCTAAACGCGTGTTTATATGTCATGTTGCGCTGGTACGATTACTACTTGGGCCGCTCTGGAAATTGAGGCCCATTGATGCTCAGAAGTGCCGAGAGGGTCATGAGGGTCATGGCTAGTCGCAGCAGTAGCAGCAGAAGAAGAAGTACAAGTAGTAGGAATAGTATTATGTTTATTACTTTTATGAGTACAATTAATAATTGATGTTGCCATCATCATGATTCGAATTATAAGAAGTAGTAGTAGTAGGAGGATGAAAAAAGGAAGTTGATCGCAGGCAAGGCAAGCTGCCTGCCCGCAGAAGCGGGCTGCTAGCAGGCTGGGAGGGGGCTCTACATGAGGTACTGTTGATACTGAGAATCGTGCATGACCCTAGGACACCAAAGTACCATGATTCCCAAGGTTTACGATACTTTCGGCTATGCGGGATTTGTAGTATCCACCATAGGGTTTTACGGCTTGGGGGTTCGCCTTCTGGGTGCGTGGGGCTTCGATACAAGGCAGGGGTTTCTGTCATGGTTTGCGTGAGTGTTTGCAGGTTCCTTAGGCTGTTCCTGAGAGGGGGGGGGGAGAATTATCTGAGTTGCTGTTAGAGTTAAGGAACTCAAATTAAGCCAGCATAAAAAAGAAACCCTACGATGTACCATGTGCACGCCTTTTGTGGCAACTGAAAGTAAGTTCCTTACTTGGCGGGTCATGGGGACTTAGTAAGAGGTTAATAATGGGGATAGTTGGAGTTATTATATGGCTTATAGGGGTTATCAACCTACTTACAAAGTCCCCATGACCCTCCAAGTAACAGCAACCCGGTTCTTCTTATGAACGAGGCCACAAAGCCAGTCAGGTAGATGCAGCAAATTCGCAGATCCAAAAGTGGGCAAAGAAGCAAGTCGAGGCCGATGAGGGTACACAATCCCTACAGAGTAGGGTTTGGGGGTTGGGGGGTGGTTAGTAGGGAATGAGGGGATGTAATCCCAATATGATGGGGTCTGGGGTTTAGCAGGGAATGAGGGAATGTAATCCCTATATAAACCCCATATAGTATATTCCCAGGTTCTCTACCTAGCAACCAGTAAGGCATGGGATTCCAGCAAGACGTGCTCAAGTGGTCTAAGAATTCGCAGAATCCCCTCATGCTACAATTAAAGCACCCCCGCCCATGACAGTATATGAGGATATTTTACATATTGTTGGACATGTCTAATGTTTGGGTTTGGGGGGGTTAATGTTAGTAGTAAGGGTATAGACTGTTGCAAGAAGTTGCATTCCATGGCGAGGCGCCTCTTACTGGGATCCACAGGCACATAGCAGGAAGTAACCCTATTTTGAGGATTGGCACTTCAACCTCAGGTCTTGCCAGGCTTTCAGGTTTTAGGGTTTAGGGTTTAGGGTGCTTTTAGGCTTTGGGGCTTGGGGTTAGGATTTAGGATTTGGGACAAGAGCTTTCAAAACCATGCGGGATTCCAGCATTTGAGAACACTTCCTTTGGTAGCTAACCCAGGCTCCTGAATGCTCAGAGCAGAGTTTTAAGAGGTGTAGTCTACTGGAATCCTTACTCAGGATAGAGGGGGTGATTCTGCTCAGGCTTAGGGTTTCTCTGTTTTGGGCTGATGCAGGGGTCCAGGGCCTTTCTGAACCTTGGTGGATGCCGAGGCCGCATGCTCAATCTCCTCCACCACGGGTTTAAAACAGGGGCCTTGCAAGATTTGAATATTTCTCGAAATAGGGGGACCCCAATATAGACCTGAAAAAACGATAATCCTTGTTATAGGGACCCTCAAAATGGTAACCCTAATTTTCTAGGTGACTGCCAGGGCTCATTCTTAAAGAGTCTTGGCCGTGACTTACACCATCCTATGGGGATTATATGATTTCTTCTCGAAATTATGGGCCCTTTGTGGTTATAAACCATATTACGGCACCCTAATATTTAGGGGTACCAAAGGTGGACCCCCCATATAGGTAGAATGGAAAAACGGAGGGAAGGATGTAGGGCGTCGGGCTCCAGAAAACACCGTTTAGAGACCATTGCAGGCAATGTATTCATAACCTGCACATGATCCCTTTCTAAACCCTAAACCTGATTGTGCTACATGGACATCCTTGTGCCATCCCCAGAGATCCAAAGCAATCCTGGGTATAGCAAGGGTAGATTTGAAAACAGTTTTGGATTGCTATTGCCCCTCATCCCTATACAATCCTCAAAGATCCATAAAGATTTAACTTTCATAGGGCCCCCAAACCTACCCTAGTTAGGATTTGGGGTCTGGGTTGGACCCGCATTCATGAAGAAGCCCTCTCTAATGTGTGTCGGCGTAGAAGGATCCACATAGAACCACCCAGAGCCCTCAGAACCAATGCAGCCTCGAAGATGTGCCCTCTTTTTGATTTTCACCCTCCCTAAGCCTAAAACCCTAAACTTTTAGGGATCTTGTTAGGAGAAAACAGGGCCCATATCAGAGGGGCAGATTCCAGGAACTATTTGGTTTAGGGCTTAGGGTTTCGGGTTTAGCACACAATCATCAAAGTGACTAGTGGCTTCTCAAGCTCGTATAGTGAGAGGGTCCTGTTTAGGCACCCTTTAACATGTGTTAGCTTATAGCCCATGATCCCTGTTTGCATCCCAACATGTATCCCAGGGTTCTTTGGGGCCTTCGTTTTGAGAATTCCCATATACCCATGACTAATAACCCCTAGACCTTCAACCCCTAAACCTTGCTTGAAGGATCCTTTTGACTTAGGAAGTCTACCCATTATGAGCTCCAAATACCCCTTCTTACTAAGTAGACTTACTAGGCCAAGAGATCCTCCAAGTACAGCCCTAAGCCCTAAGCCCTGCATAGTAGTTTCCATGTAACTGTCCACGTTCTTTTCCATTTGATTCTCCATTATTGGGATATCATCCCAAAACCCCAAAACCCTATGTAACCCCTATATAACACCTTATTTTGGGAACTTCCCATGTTCTACCACAGTTAGTCAGGTCCAGACCAGCGTCCGCATCCGGCTCCTTCTCCCCGAAGGCTGCAGAGAGGCATGGGCTCTCCCGCCGGTTTAGGGTTTAAGGGTAACATTAAGGGCTACCCTAAACCCTAAACCCTAAACCCGGCTACATACGAGTATCATATACATGCACGTTATCCAACTGTTATAGTGTGGGGGAAATGGAAGTTTATGGAGATGAACGCGTATTAATCCCCATGCGGGGCAGGGCTTTCCGAAAAGGGAATTGCCCGCAGACTCACGAGACACATGCATTATTATGACTATGATGGAATTAAGTCATTTGTTAAGGGGGTTGGTTGTATAGGAGATCGTCTGAGAAACTCTCATGTCGTTCTTGGTATTTTTACTTGCTCGTGCGATGATGTCTGGTTGGCACGGTTTATAAGGCTGCTAGTCAATTCCGCCTGGAGCTGTGGCCCCCACCCTCCTCATGACGGTTCCCAGTATGGCGCCAGCATATGTGTATACGTATATACATAAATACATATCTATCTATCTATGTATATACATATATGTACATATATATATATGTATACATGTAAGTGTGCGGGTATGAGGGAACATCATGTTCGATAAAAATAGTCATTACTGCTATCATGGGGGTAGGGGGTCTTTCTCTTTTCGCGGAGGGGATTGCATGGGTCTCCATTGGGATGATTTGGGTCTTCACTCGAGGTTTCATAGGGAATTGCATACGGCTTCCTGCGGGCTCTGCGGGGCCCCGTCTGCCATTTACTTGCTGTCAAGTTTTGTGTTGAGGATAAGGAGGAAATCCCACTGCTCTCAAGATCCCTCACATAAACCCCGCCCCCAAGTAACGGTGACTATAAGGAATAAGAAGGATGATATTAGGGCCTTGTAGTCCCACTATACCACTATTACAGGGTAGGGGGTCCTCCTAAAAGATCCCCCATAGAATCCGTATAGACTCCTCTGACATGTCTTCTGCAATCCCTGCAGGGGTGCTTCTTGATCTCGCTGCTACATATTGTACTTTGAAGGGCCGTGGAGTTAGGTAATATATTGTATCCCTCAATTGAGCCCATTTCAGCCACATTATCGTATAACCCTTTGCAAGTCAAGTAGGTTCCCTAACCCACTGTAATCCCAGCAGCCCCCAAAGTAGGCACTAAATCCTAAACCTTAAATTACACAGTAGTTTCCAGTGCCGTCCCCCCCCATAACCCCTAATTTGAACCCTAAACCCTAAACCCCAGACCCTAAACCCCAAATCCTAAGCCCTAAAGCCCAAACCCTAAGCCCTGAACCCCAAACCCTAAGCCCTGAACCCCAAGCCCTAAGAACCAAAGCCGAGATCCTAAATCCCAAAACCCTCAACCCTAAACCCCTAAACCCCAAACCCCTAAACCTTAAATCTTAAAAAATAAACCCTAAACCCTAAATCCTAAACCCTAAACCCTAAACCCACATGCCTTCGAAGTGCTGAGAGGTCAAAGCTCACGAGGACTCCGCAGAATGCAGCGCCCTTGAGGCCGGGCTGGGTACTCCCCTGCCAGCCTGAAAGGAAAAGCTAAGCTCTGCAAGTGATTATGTAGGTTTTAGGGTAAGGATTTAGGGTTTAGGGTTTAGGATTTAGGGTTTAGGGTTTAGGATGATTTTAGGACGTTAGGTTTTACAGGGGTTAACTGATTAGCCTTGACCCGCCCTCCCTAATAAATGTTTGTTCAATATTATTACCATCATGCCGTGGGGGATTATGTTGATTGGGCGGTGGGGAGTAGGGAGATTCATTGTTAGTGGGAGGGGATGCGTACAATGTTACGTCAAAAGAATTATGAACTAATGCCATGGGAGCCGACCCAACGGTTCCCCTGCACGAGACGCTGCTTTTCTTCCTCAAGGCCTGCAAATATCAATGGGCATTCAGCTATTGCATGGCACCGCGGAGAAGGCCGCGTCCCTCAGGTGTCCGCCCTTTGTGTTGGAAGGCTTGGGGTCCTAGAGCTCAAAAAGCCTGATAGACGTGCGACATTATGACTTCCCAGCATGCCAGCCGCTGAGAAGAATCAGAGATCTGGCGAAGATATGAGGGGAGTACTACTGTTTGTACTACCTTCACAAGCCTCGTGAGTGAAGCTGCACCCCTGGCGAGGCAGAGAGCATTGTACTGCACGCCGCACATGAAAGTTCCTGGCGTCTTGTTCGCAGGCTCCCCAGTCTCCAAAGCGTGCATCAACTTTTGAAAGCAGGAAGGCAAGCCAGAAGCTTCCACCTTTGCGGCTAAGGTCTGTCCGTTGCTGGTAACGTTCAAGCCCGATCCAAATGACCAGCATGTGAAGGAGCACTGCCCTCAGTGCCCGTGCATTGCACCCTGAGATGATAAAGGCGTCTCATGCTTGCGAATAGCATATGTGTGCGGAGACGTGCTGCGCAAGGTTCGGCGATGAGCTCTACACCGTGACACTAGAGGCCACCACACACGCGCAGGGGTGCACATGAGTTCCTCTTGTGCTTCTTGCAAGTACCATTGTTTTTGGCATGTTTTGGCCCAAAGCATAGGAGGCACCTGCGCTTGCAGCGATATCTCCAAGAGCCCTGAGCAGCAAAAGAAGGCATGAAGCAGCCCCTCCACAGCATGCTAGGCGCGACCTTGAGAAGACCATTAGGTTACGAATATAGCAACCTCACCTCCGCTGCGTCATGTCTGTTGTGTGGCCGTAGCCTACTGAACCATCACCTCCCAACTCATGTTTCACGGCTCCCAGATCACCCGCAAGGTGCAGGACATACTGCAGTGCGGTGGCATCACCATGCCGCACACGGACATCTGAGGGTTCACGGAATGCATGTCAGCACAACTGTGGCACGAGAAGAGTAATGTAGAAGCCTGAAAAACTACCAGGGATAACTCCCCCTGTCATATTAGTCATATTCCGGAAAAACTCTAGTACAACGGAGCCTGAAACCCTCAACGGCTATATATATCCCTACATAACCCCTATAATCCCCTTTAAAGGTACCCAATAAATTGGGCCGCTACATTACACCAGGCTAACTGGACAAGGTAGATCCAGCCCCCGGCAAGCTTCTCCGCAAAGCTCTGGTTTGAGGGTCATGGGGACTTAGTAAGTAGGTTAAAAACCCCTATAAGCCATATAATAACCCCAATTATCCCCACTTTTAACCTACTTACCAAATCCCCCATGACCCTCCAAGTAGGGCGTATCTTCTTGGGGGGTTAGTAGGGGGGATAAGGGAATATAATTCCTTTATATAGTAGTAGGGAACAAAGGGAATACATTATAGAGGTAGGAAATAGGGGAATGTATTATAGAGGGATTATGGAGGGATAATATTCCCTTATTCCCTACGAATCACCAGTGCGATATGATCCTTCTTGAGTATTCCCCTGTGAAGGACCTCATGGGCTTGCCACAGCATTCACGGCTACAGGGAAGATCTTTCGACTTAGTAAGTCTGCACACCATCCCCAATAAGCCCTATCATAGGCCCCATGAGTCCTAAGTCCTAAACCCTAAACACTAACCCATTTGATAAGCCCCCCTGTTACTAAGCATGCTTACTGAGTCAGGAGATTCTCTAAGTACAGGGACCAGGCATGGCGATAAACCTTGCAAATGCGAAGGAGGACGCAGACCTGTCCTACTTCCTGCAGCTACAGATCAGGTGCAGCCAGGGAGGGCCGTATAAGAGTTACATACATATAACAGGATTATCCCTGCTGCTACACTTTTAAGAATCCTACTCCTTGCAAATACTTCTGATCTTTTAAGTATACACCTAAGGTATCCTAAGGTGGTGTTTATACTGAATCTGTTGCTCCCTTGCTCAAAACACCCTCTTTACATCGACTGCCCATGGACCTTTAAGTACCTACACTGTACTCGTTCTTAATAGGACGCCATCAGGTTACTATTCGAGTGCCACTATACTGATGATACCGAAGATTGTCGGGGGCCATCGGAATCGCAGAGGATTCTGGGGGTCCCTGTCTAGGATTCGCTTGAGGAGATGGATATGAAAATCGTTACCAAAGTCTGCACCGCGAGGCCTAAACTTGAACATTGGCCTCTTATAGGGGACTATTCGGACTATAGGAATCCAATTCCTTCGGCCCCCAAATCCTGAATCCCAAATGAGCGTTGCTTACTCAAAACCAGAAGATGGTGGGAAGCCAGCTAGGAAACAAAGAGGCTCAACCACGCCCTGTGCAGCAGTAAACCATGCATTGAGTATCTGACAGCTCGAGAAGAAGTTTTGCACTTCATCCTTTACTTCTGAAAGGCCGCCATCATTTTTGTAAGAGTTCCATGCGCGACTCAAGTTCAGAGACGGCCTGTTGCAGCAGGACATTGAACGGCAAGCATTTCCGACTTGAGGAGGAGCTGCACTGCACTTTGGCCATGCAAGTGGCATGATTGTGTGGGCACATGGCTGCACAGAATGTCGTGGAGAACGAAACCGACCCCATGGCCCCGCGAGATACTGACGCCTCAAGCATACCAAAAGTCATTATGCTCCATTGTACTTCCACAAGCAGATAAGTCCACTCCAGCGTGCAGGTAAGTCCTCAGTCCACTATTGTCAGACCGCATGGCTTCTCCGCAATATCCAGAGCACCGCGCTCCGCGTATGGGAGGATGTCGTCGACCCCTGGTTCGTGGTTTTCCGGCTGCTGGATAAGCGGGACCTCAACAAGGCCAAGGGTTTTCAGAGTTGAGGGATCCACTGGTTTGGCTTTGAGGCTTTTACTTGACCTCAACTTAGGCCTTAGGGTATGCAAGAAGTGCGGGACATCATGTATGAACAAGACCCAACCTCTTGGAAAAGCTGCTTGTTTGCTACGGTTTAGGGTTTAGGGGATGAGCGATTTTCAAGATTCCTCCAGCTGCACAAGCTTGCTGGGTTCGACCACCCAAAAAAAAAACACCCCCTGAGGTGACTTCACTGCTTCTGGATGCGAAGCAAGCAAAGCAGGCGAAGAAACTGGATGCTGGCTTAGGGTTTAGGGACTCTAAACCCTAAACCCTGAACCCTAAACCCTAAACCCTAACCCCTAATTCCTTAGGGTTTAGGGCTTACCGCAAAGCTTAGGCCTAAATGACCTTCGGTTGTTAAGGCCTTGGTTTGAAATCCTCATGTTGAACTATGAAAGCTTTACATAATCCTGCATAATACCACCTACCCTACCTCGGAAACTGCAACATGTTGAGGGTCTTAGCTGGTGCCACCACAGTACGCTGGGCGTGGTGTCAGGGGGAGCCAGCTGCAATCTTTGGACCGTTGGGTCTATGTAGGTCCTATTTGTGGGCATTTGGGCTCTGACGGTAGTTTGAAGCTCTGCAACCATGAAGCATCCACCGCTCCTAAATCCTGCTCTTGCCTGGAGGCAGGAAGCGCATGCCCAATCTCTACTCAAACATCAGTGCCATTCCCTTGCCGGGGCCTTTGCTTGTTTGTTCAAAGATCCCACAAGAGTTCAAGAGTTGGATAGGGTTCAAGACCTCCCAAAAATGAGATCGCTTTCAGCTTCTGAAACATGGCACTCTGCATCGCGTCGGGTGGGTTCTAGGCAGATTTATTTGTGCAAGAGAGTATGCTGTAGCATGGGAACCAGTCAGAAGCAATCCGGTTAATGGGCGAGCGCCAACGAGGAGATTCCTAGTTCCTTGCTATAGGGACTCCTTGCGATGCGAAAGCGTTTGGAGCATAACTATGTGTGATCATCCGCGAGAGGGGCTTCCAGATGGCTAGCAGTGCATTACTTCAGTCAGTCAGAACCACTCGCACAGCATGCGTGACAGCACACTGTGCAGGCTGATGCGGGAGATGCCTTTGGGAAGAAAACAGGTGTTCAACAGCCAGAGAAATGTATCAGGGAAACAAATGCATTTGAGACCTTAAACCCTAAACCCTACTGTTTCGGGATCTGTCCATGAGCCGTCCGGCCACGGCTTTCTGCATAGCTGGCCCCCAGAAGAGATTTCATGTTTCAGTTTTTTTTGGGGTCTCCATTATCCCGAACCATGTACACCCATAATATCCCTGCATAATCCGTATATATCCTCTTATGAACACTCATCCGAGCCTTCTCCATTCCCCTATGTACCTGTATACAATCCCAACTCTCCATATCCCCTGAAACCATAAAAGGATAAACCCCAAATCCTGAATCCTCAAACCCTAAACCCTAAGCCCCAAACCCAAAGCCCTATAGAATCCCTTTTGGGGGGGGAGGGGGGGGGGG